GTACCTTTTAATATATAAAATTGGTTTAAAAATAGTTGCGAGTATCGTTTCCCACATATTTTATAAATACCGTAACATCTCTCGGATAAATGTTTTAAAAAATTGTTCAAATGTTAGACATTATTCAAAATAATATTTATGCAAAACTAAGGACTATCCAAGAGTTTATGAAAAACTATTTGATAAGAAAATTATTTATTCAATTAAATTATGCGATATTATTGAATGGAAATTAGTTTTGATAAATGAAGCGCTGATTTATCTAATAAATTAGTGACTATTTAAAAATAGTCCTCTATTTACAGTGGCGTTTATGAATCAGTCGCTGTGGTTATCCCAGAAATAACAAAAAAGTCATTGATTTTCATAGTATTTCAGTGGAAAGCAAATTGTTTTATTACCACAAATACACTGAACTGACTCACAAAGTCTGGCGCTTTTCCAGCGCTACAGTTAATATAATAAGTCAAACAATTTATTCACATATTAAGACCCATCCGCTCTCTCCCCGCATCTCTCTCTCTCTCTCTCTCCCCACTTACTCACTCTCTAGTACTCCCTATGCCTCTCATCTCCTCTTAATGTTGAGTGAAGAGACCGGGAGATGAAAAACATCATTCACTGAGACATAACTTTAAAAATAGATTTTTACCAGAAAAAAACATTCGCCACAAAAAAATTTGCTTTAGGTTTGCATTTAAAAGTGCAAACAATTGGAAAGGCAGACGTCTTCAACATTTGAATCATAACTACTTTTAGCTTAATATATGAGAAGTTATATAAGAAATTCTCTCTATTTAATAATACTTTGCGAGTAATAACTATGCGTTTATTATATCATTCAGTATTTGTTGTGATTTTATTCATTCAAACCAATTATTGCCTAAAACTACGAGGAGTTACCATTTCGGTAGGTGCTCTTGTATTGTCTATTAACTTCTTGTGGTTTAGCCTAATGTTATATTTGATTGTTTTATGAATGAATTTATAATTAATATATTTGATGCAAATGATTGTCATAAAAGAGTTGGCCGTATGTGGAGAAATACTCGGACAGGAACGGAGAGGTAGCTTACGATGGGTTTGCCGTCGAACTCATCGATAAGATATCGAAAAGCGCTGGATTTGATTACGAGTTATATGAGGCACCGGATGGCAAGTATGGGGTTTACGATCCCCAGACGGGTCGCATCAATGGCCTCATTGGCGAAGTCCACAGTCATGTGAGTCTTATGTGTCTTAACTTATATTCATTTACAGTTCAGTATATTTCCAGTATTTCCAAAAGTGTCGTTCACTTTGTCATTAATTTGATATAAAAATTCCTGTTTTATATGTATTTTCCACTTTATTATTGTCGAGAAAACTTTCTTTATTTGATTTAATTCAAAGAATTTTATTTTGTGTCATTATTTTTATTGGTTTTCACAACAAAAAATCTTATTTTTCAATTTAAAGCTAAAGCAAATAACTTATATGTTTTGTCTAAACAAATAATCTAAATATAATGCAACATTCAATGTCTGTTCTAATATTGATTTTGATATTTCCATTGATTCTGGTGAGTACTGGTATTAATGGAGAAAATTGTCATTTTAATAGTATTTATTCAATCTATTTTGCATTTCATATAGACCATTATATTATAGACCATTAATATTTTAAAAGTAGGATCGTCATTAAATTGTTTGAAAAAGTTTTAGTAAATATTACATTCGTAACAAAATTTAAAGAATACAAAAATTGTTGATATAATGGATCCTACGAGATAAATGTCAAGAGCTTTTTTAGAAATTGCCTGAGACAGTACAATTGCTACAATAAATATACTATTATAGTATACTATATACAGGTATAAGTATACAGGTATAGACATCTAATATATCTATCGTAATTATAATATCAATTATCTTTTTTATAATATTCTGTATCTTTGTATACTGTATATACAGTAGTTTCTCACAAAATACGTTTTTATAATGTATTTTATATTGTAAATAAATTAACTAAAAATTATTAGTACAAAACTCACAAAAATAAATTTATTATGTTAAAAACTCTCAAAATGTTTTGTAAAAAAAGTTAAATCTTAATGTTTTAAGTGTTTATTGTGTAATAAATGTTTAAAACCATGTTATAAATTAATAATATACCAGAAATGTTTACACATCTCAAAAATCAGTGTTTATTCTTGTTTTTATTGCATAATAATTGTGGAAATTTTTGTCTTTAACATATTTAATTATAAATTAAACAAAACTTTAGACTAATTGTTTAGCATTACGTCAAATAACACGATTAATCATATGATTTAACGCGTTTTGTTTTAAAAATAAACAAAATTCATACTAATACATTTTATAACTAATATAAAAAGTATTAAATGCAAACAAATGACTTACATTTTTTAACACTGAAGTGACGTTCAATAGATTTACTTAAACCAAAATAGTAAATTAAATTGACAATGATTTAATATGAAAATTGAAAATTGAAATAATATTTGCAAAATTAAACAAATATTCAAATGTTTGACAATAAGTGTTGTACTGAACCACAAACTTGAATACTTGTACACAAACTTCTTAATACCGATAATCATATGAATCTAATATCAAGACTTAAAAGTTCAGATGAGGAGGCTTACTGAAAAAATAGTGAACCTGCTCAAACTGGAAAACTGGATGTCCCACTCCTTTCGGACACCAACAAGTGTTTCAAGTGTTTTCTCAAGACGTTATAAATTTTAGTTTTAATCAATTTTTGTGCCCAAAACGTAATCTTTCTAATGAACTCGAAAATACTGTATAAATCAGTTACAATATTTCAGTCAAATGTTTTGATACTTATCTACAGTTTATGGAAAAAATAATTTTCGGTAGTTTCAACACTTTTCTCATTTATTTATATTTATATAACCCTATAATATACTAGACTAATAATATTGCCAATAAATATACAAACACTCTATGATATTTATGGTTTTATTAAATATTAAATTATATATTTTAAAAATATAAAACAAATATAAAGTTTGACTAAAAACATTTTTTACCCTTTGGGTAAAGCATATAATTATTTGACAATTTTATGA